GACCCAAACAATCCTGTCGCTCTATAGTCTAGTTCGCAATGCGCGCGCGTATAATTCCTGCGTGTTGGTAATACCGTTTTTCCTCCCAGTGTGCCCGGGTTGTAGGCGAGTAAGATACAGCGGCCAGTAAAATCCGAGTGAATTGAAAAGAAAGAAAAAAAAATAGCAGAGGCCCCTGGAAAAGTCAGCGACAAGAAATAATAAAAAGGGAAAAATCCGTGAATCCTGGGGCGAAGGACAAATTTTCCATCGGAAGTGTAACTGAACTTGAGCATTCGTTAAAGGGAAAAAATTGTTCTGCGGTTGTTGGAACGCATTATCGGAGCCTTGCGGTGATATTTATCCCAGTTGTTTCCGTTTTTTATTATTTCTCGGAGACGTCTGAATGAAAAGAAAAAATAATTCGCGTTGATAATTGCATTGGTTAGCACTGGAAAATCGTTCGGCGGTGGATAATTTACAATTGAGATTAATTTGTGGTGTTGAGAGTGAAAATATTCGTTAATGTGAGTGATTTGAGTTGTGAAGGTGGATTTATTTAGTGGGAATATTGAGGGGGTGACGCTGTGATCGGGGCGAAGGGTGGAGTGAAGTTGACGTGATTATTTCGGAGTCATTTTGGGACAGGCACGGCTCCGCACGGGAGCATATCTAGGTAATGGTTTTTTATATTTTTGAAAATGAGTTTTTTTTTTGCGCAATTGTCGACGAGAGTGACAGACGTGGGCTGGGAATTTCGGAGCAGAATATTTCGGAGCAGAACTGTCGGGCTTTTTAAATCCGAGATGAAGTTTCGATTGTTTTTAACAATTGAGGGGTTTTTTTAATTGTTATGGGAAATCGATGGGTTTTTGCGGATACGTGCGAGGTTGGGGCCAGGATTTTCAGCTCCTGTAGTAGATTGTACCTGCAAACATGGCCGCCGCCTAGTCATCAATGTCTCTGTCAAATTCTTGAGGGGAAAACCGGAGATTTCAGAGTTTTATGAGATTTTTTAAAGCGTTATTCGATGTTTTTCGGTTTCGCATTGCGGGGAGCTGATTTTTATTCTTGATTGCTATTGAAATATTTGAAATTTTTTTTATTATCGGGTTTGAGAATTACAATGAGGTTGCAAAATTTATTTCATATTTTTTAGGGATTTTTTAATTGAAGTTTTCTATAAATTCGCCGGTAAAAAATCATAATTTCGACGGAATTTTTATTTAAATACTTCATTTCACAGGATTCAATGTCTCTGTCAAATTCTTAAGGAGAAAACCGGAGATCCCAGGGTTTTACGAGATTTTTAGAGAGAATCATTCGATGTCTTTTGATTTTGCATTTCGGGGAGTTGATTTTTAATATTGATTTTGACTGAAATTTTTTATTTCTTTTATTGTTAAAATTGAGGATAACAATGAGGTTTCAAGATTAATTTCACATTTTTTAATCAAAGTTTTTTATAAATTCGTGTTGTTCAAGTTTTCAAGGTCTCAATCTATTTGTTTTTTATTTTTCCACTTATTTTCGAAGCACTAAAGCTGAAAACTCGTCAGTAAAAATTCATAATTTCAACATACTTTTTATTTAAATACTTTACTTCGAGATTTTTGAAAATAATAATTCAACATTTTTCGTTGTTGCATTATAGGGAGTTGATTATTATTCCTGATTGTTACTGAAATTTTCCCATTTTTTAAATTATTGAATTTGAGGACAACAATAACGCTTCAATATTAATTTCATATTTTTTAATGAATTTTTTAATCAAAGTTTTTTATGAATTCGTTTTGTTCAAGTTGCCAAGGCCACAATTTATTTATTTTTCATTTTCAAAGTGTTTTCCACCCAATAAAACTGAAAACTCATCAGTAAAAATTCATAATTTCGACGGAATTTTTATCTGAATACATCATTTCACAGGATTCAATCAAAAAATATGTATTTCCTCATTCAGTCTGTACAAATATTTTGTTTCGATGTTCCACGAATTGTTTATCACCTTCAACTCGGTGAGAAATCAAACCCCGACGTATTTTCATAAGTAATCCTCACAGATATCTCAAAGACTCCAGTAAACACTTCATTTTTTCAACTCTAGGTAATGGATACGGAGAAATAAATGTACAGAAGCATCACTTTTCTCTTGCATAATGCGTGTACGCGTGTTCCGTGCGTGTGAGAGTCGATGCGCATGCGAAAAAAAAAATTTCAAATGCAGGAAATAGGGGCAGACGAGAGTCGAAGCAGACTTCGCATTAAAGTCAAATTTTTCGGCTGTTTTGGCGTCAGGAATTGATGGCGAGTATTCTCAGGGGAAAAAATCCCAGAGGAGGAGAAAATTTTCATTTTCTCCCTCGTGAAATCGTTGTTCTTCTTCTAGAGAAGTAATCAATCTATTTCTTCCTCGAATTTTCCTTTGTGATAATTTTTATTACCCGAGAGAATGCGGAAAATAGAGGAGGAGAATAATTCCGTTCTGTAAATAGTTTCATGTATTTTTTTTCCCATGCATGTAGTCATGAATATTGAGTTAATGTTCAAGTTATGGGTAATAGGAACGGCTGTTCTCATTGGTCCGTCAATTGATATGATGATGCTACAAGTACAGTCTAAATGACTTTAATTGCCAGCGGAATATCGTGATGAGCATCATGAATAAACCCTCATTTCATACAAATTGTCGGTGAAATATTTTTCCTACCGAATGGAAGCTTTGCAATCGTTCAAATTTAAGGATTTCCAGGTAGGGGGGAGTGGGGTAAAATGGACACTTTAGACTTTTGTTTTAATTACTCATAACTCAGAAACAAATTTATCAATTGAGCTCAGTTTAGGCTCATTACGAAGAGAAAGAATTATTCTTTGCACTGAAAAAAAATATGACGTTTTATCAACATTTCAACCCGTCATTAACATTTTAAATAAAGTCAAATGTGTCCATTTTACCCCAACCTCCCCTATCTTTTGCAGTTTGGTAGAGACCACACTATAGATTCAACCATTTTCAATCATCAAATTTGTCAATAAAATTGCATGAAAAAAATTGAAAAAATCATGAATATTCAACGTCATTCAAATTACATTTTACACAGAATTATTATTGTTTTATACATTCGGTGTTCATAAATAAATAATTGAAATTGTTTAAACTTTCGGTAAGCTAATTTTTTTGGGCGTGAAATCGATGTCTGGTAGAATTCTGAATATGAATAAATTTGTTACGATTCCGAACAAATGGCTTTTATGGTAAAAAACTGATTGTTTATGAATTATTTATAAATAATGCTCGTAATTTTAAAAAAATTGCAATGTTTAAATTATTTTATCAATTTTCCTCCAAAAGTAAACTTTTTAATTTTTTTTTCAGATTTTTAAAATGTTTTCTAACGGTTCAATATCTAGATTCAAATTCTGACCGACAAAGTTTAAATAATAAAATCGTTGTAAAATGTCTGGAAACTTAGGGTCAAATGGGGCTCAAATGAAAGCTCTGATGTTGGACTACAAAAGTAGAAAAGCATTTCAGTGGAGAAAAAATAGCTAAAGTACTTGGATATCCTCAAATTTTGATTTTTTGTATTATATCGACCCATCTAAAAAATTCGAAATTTCAATTTTTAGTTTAGCGAAAATCCAATTGTTCGCTAATGAATGGATGGAACTGAATCTTTTTTTTCAAATGTAGGTATTGTTGAGCCCTATCGATCGCCATTAATTAAAATTTAATTCATCGATTAATTTTTTTAATTTCCGAATTTTTTCGAAAATCGGTTGTCCCACGATAACAAAAAAAAATGTTCTGAACTGACTGAATGATGGCCTCAAAAATGAAGCTGAAACCAGCGAAAGATTCGACAGCAGAAGATTTGTCTTAGGCGAATCTAGGGGTCTATAAATGTTTTTTAGTAATGAACAAACTCTTTCGCACTTGAAAAATATTTGGATATGTGATTATTTGACTCTTCTACGCTTAAATATCCTCTAAATTGAATTTTCCGCTGACCAATATTCTGCTAGTTTCAGCTCCATGCTTCAAAAATTTGTTTGGATGCCCTTTTGACCGAGTTCGAAGATGAGGGCGATAGCAACAATCGTTATTTTGATTTATTTGAAAATTTGCAAAAATTTTGTATTTTTTGAAAATTAGAATTTCGGGAATATCTTTGAATATCGTGTTTCAAATGACTTCAACAATAGCATACGATATTTGTTTTAATGTCATGATTGTTGAAAATTTCGAATTTTTCCTGAATTTTCCTGAAAATGAGTTTTCGGATGGTTTTTTCAAATGTGATATTTCAAAATACATTCAAGTATTTATAAATAAAAATTTTCCATTAACATTTTATCGAAGGGCTGAGGGGAGAGATAGAACCGTAAAAAAGACAATCGGTTGTGTAGAAGAAAGGAATAATAAGAATAATGATGATAACATTCAATTAAGTTGAAAATCTGACAAAATTAGTTGAAAAGAAATCTTATTCAATTCAATCAAATGAAATAAACAATGAATCATACATGATAGAAGGAAATGGTGTGCAAAATAACCATTCGGAAGCATATTGCTAATTAATTAGAAAAATATCTATACTATGTGCAATACAAGATCAATTTCCTTCTCGTTTTTTTCGAAATTCAAATTTAAAAAAATAATTTGCAAAGAAACTTCATCTTCAATTTTAAATTAATTGACACATCATCAATATAACGGAAAAAGCACAAAATTAACGTTTAAATTTTGTAATTGTTATATAGATTAAATAAGGATTGCCCTGGGGAGATTTATTATTATTATTATTGTTGTTATTATTATTTAGGTGGTGGAACAAGAACCTAGTAAAGAAATTAAGATTCATCATGCAAAAATTCATCTTCTCTATTTCGTGGAAAAACATGAGGTATTCGATAGAGAATTCTATTGAACTTCAGTTGGAAATTCTATTAGTTTTTGTCCGATTCTCTTGAAGAATTCTGCAGCTTTACTGTGATGTTTTTAATAGGAAATATCCAATAGAAACTATTTTATAGAAAATATCGATAGAACTTGATTTTTCAATAAAATTTTTTTTATTGAGACATTTTTTATTGGAATTTCTAAACATGAATTCCACAAATTTCTCCTGTTTTTCTTTTTATTTATTGGAAAAAAATCAAACAAAAGAAAAGAGAAAATTTGAGTGGAAGAATTTCTGTAGAAAATATCTCAATGGAGTAAGTTGTATAGAAAAATTACATTCAATTGATTTCTTCTATAGAATATTGAATACATCCACTGACCATTTTCACTGAAAAGAAAACATGCAGATAAGCTGTAGAATTTTTCAATAGAATCTACGAAAAACTGATAGAAATGTTGATAAAAATCACATTGAATTTTCTAACGAACTCAATAAAAAATCAGACAAAAAGAAATTGGATTTCTGTGTAACTTCTATTGAAGAAATCCGCAGCTCTACTGCACTTTTTTAAATAGAAAATATCCAATAGAAACTACTTTCTAGAAAAATTGAATTCTATTGATTTTTTCAATAGTATCTGCCAAAAGCCAGTAAAAAATTCAAAAGAAATCCAATAGAATATTCCAGCGAATATTCTTCACCCGTTATTTTTCACCCATTGCAAAAGCGACGTACAATTGACTCATTTCCCTCGTCTCTCCGGACGTAAAAA